AGCTCATCGAAGGAATTCATTTGTTTAGTCAATTACCAAAATTTGGATGATTTTGAATATTCACTTGAAAAGTTATCAAAGAAAAACATTTTTCATTTTGTAACTTCGAGGGCCCGTAACTTGGTTACGAAGACTTTTAGGAAAAAAAGTTATATGAAGTACTGGTGATATTTTGACCCCATCTATACATTCCCGAGAGGAAAAGAGGAAGTCCAGGGACACCCTGTAATATATTGAATATTTCCAATAGCACAGAAAATATGTTTCTAAACCAAAAATAGAGGAAAATCGAAATTTGATAAAAATATCAAAGGATATCAAGCGACCTAACTTACTGATTGCTTTGATTTTGAATATGAATTATTTTTAGACACATTCAACTAAGGAAATATTGGAGAAAAATTCTCAACTTTTAATTATATATATATAATTTCGACCCTATTCCATTGATGGCCTTGAAAAATGGAAATGAAAAGTCCTCATTAGGTACAATTCTCCTGTAATTCATACAGTTAAAAAAAACGACGAATATAGTAAAATTTAATTTCATTCATATTTTCTGAAATATCGAAGATTTGTTTGGTTCAGTGTATACTGAAAAAACGTTTCAATTTATTTGAAATGAATGTAGTAGTCCAGGAACTAAGTAAGAAAAACGGTAAACGTCGAGAAACTATCAAAAATTACACGAAACACGTATTTGTTAATTTCAGTGAATGAATTAAAATAATGTCTTTTTGAAGCCAATAATTTATTGAGAATTAAAGAAAAAAAAGGAAAAAAAATAGTCAAATGAACTTTTTAGAATGTTTACTGTTTTCAACTTGTTACACAGTAATCGTATCCATTATTAGTTTGAATTCTTATATTCAGTACACTCGGAACTACTATAATTGATAACCAGCGATAGTTTTAAATAATTTTAAGATATATCAGTGAAATCGCTATTCTAAAGCTATTCAATTGCCGTGTTTCCTTTTGGAAAATTATCCACTTCATTACTCTTGAAGATCAACTTCTACCCAATATTTCTTCAACGTAGATAGAACTATCATGCAATATCAAAACAATTATACTCAACAAAACTAATTGGAGTTTGTTAGCAAACTGAATTAAACACAACAGAGTAAAGATGGATTTCACAATCTTTGCCATAACTAAGAAAGTCCAGAGATGAATTAGGTCTCCATCTCAGCCCCGTTCTCCACAAATCACGATCTCCTGTTCTTACCTAACCACAAAAAGACGACTTACTACGCATTCATTTCTAATTGTCATTTAAAACGATCAATCAATTAATAAAGATCGGAGAACCAACGTCTTATTTCATCTAGGCGAGTGTTCTATTAGGAAAGTTTCATCGTACAGTCGATGATAAAAACCGGACTTTACCTGCTTTGTGAGAATTGGTTTAATGGGAAACGACCTGACTTGAAATGGATTTATGATGAAGTAACGTTTTGAAATTGTGTAATGACTGTCACTTGTGGCATTTGTTCTAATTTAATATCTTTTATTGATCGTCATGATGTCGATACATAAATTGGTTGTGATGTATCGTATTCAACCTGCTACCTAGATTATGTTTTCAATTTATCAAGTTTGAATGGACAAGAACAAATGATTCAGCCTTTTGTGGCATGGAATGAATTTCATTTACCTGAAAATAATCAAGACTCTAAAATCATCCACAGTTGATTTATGTTGAGTTTTCAATAGATACTAAAAAATTTGTGTTTGAATGTCCCTATCGATTCTGGTTTCATAGCCAAAGAATATACCTTGTTTTCTTCGGCTAATCCATCTCTAAAATTAACTATAACTAAAATTGTTATACAATTACGTTCTGGGCTTTATTAAATAAATTAGAAATATATGCAGAAGAGAGTCTTTCCCTTAAATGGATAGCGAAACATCATCAACAATTTGGAAGGAAGGTTGTGAACTTGTCTTTTCTCTAGAGCTACTTTCACAAAATGTATTCGTATACTCATCACGTTACCCAGATCAACATATGTCAGAAGTACAGGCGAAATACAGAAGCCATTCGCAGCGATGTACAACTCCTCAATCTGAACTTTCCAAGAAGCCTTTCATATAGAAAAAAAAATCCTCATATGAATGTGAAAGGCAGTTATTTAACTTCAATGTAAATCGCTACTTTCATTACATTATCGTAATTTTTTAAGGATTTTTCTGCAGTGTTTCTGCATCTTGTTGAATCTCAAAAACCCACATGAAATTCATCAAATCGAATGTCAATGGGATATTGCTAAAAAACTGAACAGCTTTCTAGATAAGAAAGACTTGGTGCTGACCTTTATACAAGACTCTGAAACAAAACTGGCAGATCAGCCAATGTGGATCTAGAAGTGATTTCGAATTGGGGCGAAGGTTCAATTCAATGCCGCGAAAACTCAACCATCGGTTTTCTCCAAAAAAATTAATGTCTCCGAACCGAATATAATAATGTCAGGTCAGACAATTCCGCTTTCTGCTTCGATAAGTTTTTTGGGGGTTAAAATGGACACCAAATGTCTTGGAACAATCATGTGGCTGAAATTGCAAAGGCTGCTTCTCAAAGTTCGAAAGAGGTCTCAGCAAACATGATAAACATTCATGTATCGATGAGTTCAATTTTCAGCAAGATCTCCTCACTGTACCCTTGACTCTTGAAATGAAACCTTTACTGGTATATCGATCAGTCAAAGAGGACAACTGGATTGGACCCATAAGGTCATCAGATTTCAGTTCGTTAGAATTTTCTGTAAATTTACTAAGATGCACTTTTAAATCTGTTTAAAAAAATCTGTTTAAAATCTGTTTTTCCGTTAACCAGTTGTCGCACCCCTACGAACGACAACCCTTCAAACGTCGAAACTTGTGCGAGCTAAGGATTAACGAGGTCTTACCTTTTAACGTGTGATTCTTAACACGGGTTGGACGATAGCAAGTTAAGATCGATCGTTCAGACTAGGGCTTGAACCACCGACCAACACGTCAGTCAATTCGAGTGAGTGGATAAATCACCCACGCCGAACCGCTTGGCTACCGACCGACGGAAAATTTTTGAAGCATACGTCAGAAGTACCAGAGAACCGTAAATATTTTCTGAATGAAAGACCTTGGAGGTCATCAAACTAGATGAAAAAAGAAATTCAGTTTATTTTAATCTGTTCATCAATGATAAG